AAAAAAAAAAAAAAAGAAATAACTCAGAGCAAAAACATAAAGAAAAAGCACAAGAAAAAACCATATAGATGCCAGGGAAGATAGGTCCAAGAGCCCTAACATATAAATAATAGGTGTTTCCGGAAGAGAAAATAGATGGAGAAGCGGTGATGGTTAAACATATTTCCTTGACTAAAAACAAAAAAGTTTAAGCTGGTGATTAAAAGAGTTCCTTGAATTCCCTGAAAGACAGATGTGATATTGTGACTTACAAGAAATATATATTTGGTCTTCATCCACAGTTCCCGGATCACAGCTCCCAAAACCCTTGAAATTTCCTGAGCAGTAAGAGCAAGGGGAGCATCTTTTGTTACGTTTTGTCTCTTGTTCTCAGTTCTTGAATTCACTTCAGAGCCATAAAGGTGAAATGGGTGTCTTATTTTTCATAACAAGCTCCTTTCCACCACAACTGGGTTTCTGTTAATGAGGTGACTTGGGGAAAGCACCTAAAGATGAGGCTGGTTTTCAGGGAACCGTTCCAACCATGAACAGCCATGACTTCCAGGGAGGGCAGAGGGTCCAGAGGTTAAATCAATTGCCAATGGCCACTGGTTTAATTAATCACGCCTCACTTCATGAGGACAGAAACTCCTTTATTTGGGATTTTGCTTGATGTATCTCTTCATCTGGCTGTTGATTTGTATCCTCTAATATATATCCTTTATAATAAACAGGTAACCCAGGGAGTCAACAGATTTCCTGACTTCTGTGAGCCAATCTAGCAAATTAATGGAACCCGAAGAGGGAGTCATGGGAACCTCCAACCTGTAGCTGGTTGGTAAGAAGCACAGGTCTCCACCTGTAGCTGAAGTGGGGGGTGGGGGGATGGGCTGCCTTATGGAACTGAGCCCTCAACTGGTAAAATCTGATGCCATCTCCAGGTGGATAGTGTCAGAATTGAGTTGAATTGTAGGACACCCAGCACATGTCCTAGAATTGCTTATTGGTGTGGGGAACATCAGTTTCCCTTAGCCATGGTAGAATTAGGTGCAGAACAGTTTTAACAGGTTAAAAAAAAAAGACACACTCTTAAGCATAATCTGATAAAATTCCTGAAGACCCAGGATTATGAGAAAATCATAATCTTTCCAGATAAAAGTAAGAACCACTTAAAAGGAAGAAGAAATCAAACCAGCATCAGGCACCTTGTGTACAACACTGGAATCTGGGGAGGCTGGGGTGCTGGGGACCTCTCATGGAAGGGGCTGCAGTACACAACCACCCACCTACTGGAGACACCAATTATCTGTCAGGATTAAAGATTCAGAGGAAAAAATGGCCCACAAACTCCATCTGAGGAAAGTAAATAAGAGAAAAATCTAAATAGACAATGAATCTAGGGAGGTATCTCCAGGTTCCGGATGAGACGAAAGAAGAGCAGTAAGCTATGGGTCTTGAAATACATAGAGTCAAATATAAATGGAGAATGACTGCAAATGCTCATGAGACCTCAGCACTAAATAAATATTCTTTAAATAAAAAGAGATGTAATGAAGAGAAAAATACTAATGAGAATATGAAACCGAAGTTTCTAAACCATCTCAGCAACACCTAGAATCAAATAAGGGGTAAGTGAATTTAGAGGAAAAGCAGGAAGATAAAAGAATTCTCAAGGTCTCAACTATTGGTGGAAGGCAGCAGAGGGGGATGGACCATCATAGAAAGGGAAGTAGCTTTTATCTTGATTTTATAAAATATTAAAGAAAAATGTGTTTTTGTGTTTGGAAGGAAAAAAAGATAGCCATTAATAGCCTGGGAAAGTACAGTAGAGTTCCAAAATTAATGAGGGAGGAAAAAAAGAGAACAAATAGCATCCTGAAAAAAATCACACACACACACACACAAGGCAAATAGGAAAAGAAAAAAGTAAATAAACAATAAATACACAGTAAAATGGAAGGAAAAAAATTGAATATATCAGCTATCAACCATAACAAATGTGAGCAGGTTGAATTCTCCTATTAAAATATAAAGATCGTCACATGGGTAATTAAATAATTGGTACAAATATTAGAAAAGCAGAGAGAAAAATATCTCGCTTTACTGAAGATAAGACTATGCTCCTAGAAAACCAAAGAAAATCTAGTAAAACTGAACCAGAATGAAGATAATTTTCGTTATATAGCTTGATTTTAAATTCACATAAGGAAGGACATAGCTTTTCTCTATTCTGTACTGGCAATAGCTAGAAATAAAAATTAGAGAAAATGTTACATTCATGGTAGCAACACGATTATAGAATACTTAGAGAAGGTTAGTAATAAAGGATTTATGTAAAATGAGTCATAAATTTTTAAAAAGATTTTATTTGTTTATTTTAGAGAGAGAGAGCATGGGGAGGGAGAGAGGGAGGGAGAGGGAGAGGGAAAGAATCTCAAGCAGGCTCTGCGCAGAGCCTGATGCGGGTCTGGTGGTGGGGCTCGATCTCACAACCCTGAAATCATGACCTGAGCTGAAACCAAGAGTTGGCCCCTCAGCCAACGGAGCCACCCAGGTACCCCAAATCATAAATTCTTATGAAGGACATAAAACATCTGAACAAATGAAAAAATATACTATGTTTTAGGATGAAAAGATTTATTAACATCAGAAATGTAAATTCTTCAAAATTTATATGTAAACTCAAGACAATTCCAATCAAAACCTCAGTTTTGTGTTTATGTTTTTTTGGGGTGGAGGGGCTTTGAATTATATTAAATGATCTAAAGAGAATAGTTAAAATACTATTATTGAAAAATAATCTCCCTACTAATTATTAAAAATTATTCTAAAGTCGTAATCAAAATAGTATGGTACTGACCTAGGAGGACATAGATGAACTTCAGAGACTTTTTAAAAATCAATGTGAGAAAGAATCAGAGCTTTGTATTAGGCTTACACTGTATATATGTATTTCCTTACCCCAAATAAATAAAACTGATAAGAACTAGAGGTGTACACACAGAAAAATGGACAAAATGAAGCATGTCATTCTATTAAGGAGCCATTGGTACAGCTTTTAAATAATTACTGAAAATGTTACGTCTTAAAAATGCCAATCATTCAAATTATGTTTTTGTAAATGTGATGTTTTCATATATTATGTTTTGTGGCTATTAAATATATGGAAGAACTCAATTTTCTCCAACACAGCCATCACTAAATATATCCTTACAGGGCATATGACTTTGTGTACTTACGACTTCCAAAATACCTGAGTTTCTGGATTTCATTTGGAATGGAAACAATACTATTGTAAGAAATATCAAGTTCCTCAAGATGGGACAAAAAAAATAACCTTAGAAAGAGAAAATGAAATTAAAAATGATTACATGTTTGTCATTATGAGGTATGAATAAAGAAATAAATACTTGAGCAAATAGAAGTATAGAGAAACTACATTTTTCTACAATCTTGAAATTTATGGACTTTTTTTCATTATAGGTGGTTTAATGACAACCAAAGTTCCTAAAAGGATTCATCTATCCTTTAAGACTGCTTTGAAATGTTTGGAGTGGATAAAGCCCCATGCAGAAAAAGCCACCTGAGAAATTTCTAACCCATTTAGAGATAGTCTTTTCTTCGTTGCTGTATTAGTTTCCTAGGGCTGACCTAACAAATGACCACAAAGCCAGGTGGCTCAGAGCAACGGACACATTCTCTCACAGTTCTGGAGGCAGGAAGTCCGAAGTCAAGGTGTTAGCGGAGTGGGTTCTTTCTGGAGGCTGTGAGGGCCTTCCAGTTAGGCTTTGGGATGGAAAAAGACAAGAAACAGAAAAGAAAGGGGAAAACAAAACAAAACAAAACAAGGATAGGAGAGAGACACATCCTGGTGATGTCATTACCCCTTAAATGAACAAAATATCCCACATATTTCATGAACAAATCCTATCTCAAAGCTTTGGGAAAAAGAAGAAACCTTTTGGATTTTTGAAATGATCTATTGTCTTTATTTTACAAGAAAACTAAATAGGCAAATCACAGACTTTTTCGTGGTTACAAAACTTCCAACATTTAATCTGAGAGAGTTGATTATACATTTCCATAGTATAATCAAGGGCATAACTGTAACTGTAGAGGGCCTACCTGTAAGGGACATAGCTAGGATGAGAACCCAGTTCTTTGTGCCTAAGGAATCTGGGCTTGCCTATCTGCATTTGCTTTATACTCTATGCCCCAAGCAGGTCAAAGCAAAAATAGTAGCAACAAAAATTTAGGCCTTGGTGAATTTGTGCTGTCGGTCTCCCCTTGATATGCATACATAACCTATGTTATTTAATAAAAAAATATACTGCTTTAGGGGTGCCTGGGTGGCTCAGTTGGTTGAGCGTCTGCCTCTGGTTCAGGGCATGATCTCAGGGTTCTGCGGTTGAGCCCCGCATCGGGCTCCCTGCTCAACGGGGAGCCTGCTTCTCCCTCTCCCTCTGCCACTCCCCCTGCCTGTGCTCTCTCTCTGTCAAGTAAATAAATAAAATCTTAAATATATATATATATATATACTGATTTATTTTAGAAACACTAATATTTTTGAGAAATAGCTCCTTAAAACTTTTTGAGTATAACCAATAGTTAACCAATAGTTCAAACTAATTTGCTTAATCTCTAAATAGTGAACAATGTTGACCCTGTAGTTATGAACAAGTTGTAGTTGCTTTAGGAATTTTTACATTTTGTTTAAATGACAGTTAACGGTTATTAAAGTTTATAATTACAATTTTATAGATTATAAATTTTATTTAGATGCACATATACGTATATATAAGTGTCTCTATATGCACATATATATGTATTTGTGTGTGTGTGCATATATGTGTATATATACATGCAGGGTTATGTGTGTGTGTGTATATATACACAAATATATATATATACACACAGAAATAACTATAGATATGTGTGTACACATAGATTAGTATACATACATATATTACTTAGCTCTGTTCCCAGGGAGTGTCTAGAAGCAATGTCATCCCAATAGCATTGGGACATCTAGTACCCAGATCTCAGTTTTAAATACCATCTTCCAATAAAAAGGAAGCAGGGTTTGCTTAGAGAAATAGCTGCTTCTAGTATCTAGGCAGGGAAAATACAATTTACATTACTGTTGAAAAATATAGATGATTTAAACAGAAATAAAACACACACAATGCAATATTCTTACTTTTAGTGTTGATTTCTTATATATATTATGTGTGATGTGAAATGCATATATATATATTTATACAGACATGGTATAACTTCTACATGCTTTTTTGTTCTTTTAACTGATTGAATAGTTTTACAGTTTATGAATGTAGAATTTGTTGGATTGATAAACAATGCTGGGTGAACAACTTTATAAATGAATTTTGATGCGTTTCCTTAATTACTATGAGAATCTTCTTTACAAAATGTTGTTCAACTATTTAAGAGTCCCTGTCCCTTTGCCCTTAACCCACATTCAATTTGTTAAACTCTAACCTGAAAGATGTATCTTGTTTTGCATTTGGCTAAGGTTTTGGTTTAGGAATTAAATAATTACCAGTCCATATGTCTGGAAAAATTCCATCTCTTTTATACCCAAATATCAACATTCCTATTAAAGGATATTATGTATCATACCGGCTAATTTCTTGATTTATAGATTAGGAAATTGAGACCAAGAAGGTTAAGTGACTCTCCAGATAAAAGAGATCGTTATCAATTTTGAAGATAAAAGTCTAGATTTCCTAATTCCACATGCAGTGTCCTTTCCATATGCATAAAGGCTGTCAAGGGATCAGTGCTAGTTTCTCACTTGAGCCTCCTGTGATTTGTGTTCATTTAATCAATACTCAAATAATGAATCTCTAGATGAGCATTCACTAGCCCCACATTAGTTGCCATCTATGTAGCTGCTAGGATTACTTTTTAACACAATGATAAGAAGCAAATCAGCTAATCGGAAGAGAATGGGAATCATTCAATGGCTAAAAAAGTTGCTAGCCCGTTTTCAAAAGGGAAATTGATCTCTTTCTAAATTATAAGCTCTTTATTTTCTGTGCTTATAATCTCAGGCTATGGACCTTACCCACGTGGAAGAGTAGTAATCAAATTAAAGGCAATGCTGAAAACTCTAAGGAGCTTAAGTTGTTGAATTTCAGAAGAGATTTCTTTGATAGGATTATTTCTCAGTAATAGTATTTGTAAATTTTTAAGACAAAGTATCTGAGGAACAGCAAAGAGAAACAAACATGAGTAGAATGATAAAGTATCACAGATCTCTATTTGGTACATTTTATAAACCATTTGAACTAATGTAGTAGAATCAGCAAAGGAACATTGATCAGCTGTATCATCTATCTCTTTTTTTACTCTTTTCCAGGGTATCATAAATGTCTATTTTTTATTATAATTATTATTAATAAGAAATTAGTGCGATATTCACAATGATAAAAATGGACTCACTTCTGTGGGAAAGTAACTGATGTCATTAAAGGATAAGTTAAGATATATCAATTGGGAAGCCAAAATCATTAAGTCTGGACATTTCGTGATAAAAAAGCCCTAAAAGAAAGTGACAAGAGATAAGAGGTTCATTAACAATGCACAAAATATTTTATACAAAAGTAAAAAAAAAAATGAGCACATAACTGAGTGACAGTGCTTGACACAATACACTAGCAAACCTATACTCACCTTCCATTCATTTATGTTAGTCTGCCATAATAATAATTCCTTAAATATGGAAAGGATAGAAACAAAATAGAAACACTGCTAAATATTCATGTATATAATAAGTTTAGTGTTAGATGTGTGACAGGAATTATTTTGATTAACCACAAGCAAACATTTATGGAGTGTCCATTGCATGCTGAAATGTAAGTAAATATATTTTATATTTAATTATCTCTTTTATCTTATTTTTTTCATGTTTCTACTTCTATTTCTGTTATCTTTATATTAATCTAATATCTATCTAAAACTTCTTGTTTAAATATGCCAATTCTGATTGAGGAGAACTATGTCCTGATATGAACTAAATGTTTGCACTGCCCACAAACCTTTATGTTGAAGCCCCACACACCAATGTGATCGCATCTAGAGGTGAGGCCTTTGTGAGGTAATTAGGGTTAGATGCAGTCTTAAGAGTGGAGCGCTTATAATGGGATTAGTGCCCTTATAAGAAGAGGAGGGGACCAGAGCTCTTTCTTTCCACCAGGTGAGGATACAAGAAGAAAGTAGGTGTGAGCAAGAGACCTCTAACCAGGAAACAAATCAGCTGACACCCACCTCTGCCAGAACTGTGAGAAATTAATGGTATTTTGTCATAGCAGTCAGAACTGATTAAGACCTGTCTGGTGCCCCCAGTATCTTTAATATTCCAGGAAAACTGAAACATTTGTTTCTTAAGGGTCATAGGATCAGTAGTGGTCAAGTGAATGGACCAAGGCCCTCCACTGTTGGAGGATCAGACAGACCTTGGCTTGTAGAGAAGGGGGACATAGTTGCAGGAGCATTAGGCTATGCCGCCTACCATATAAGAATGAAAGGCTCATAGCTAAAGAACCTTGAAGTTGATAGTACTGGTTTCAAGACTGACCTTTTATTAAAGTATTACTATTTCCAAATGTGTATGTAGACAAAAGTAGGCATTCTTTTTTCCTATCATAAACACTTCTCTGCAGAACTAGTGGTGCACTTACATAGCAGAAATGTGTCTGTCATAGTCTCTGTTCTTTCCACTTACTGCACTCAGACAGCTAGCGCCTTTACATTTCCTTCTGCCTGCAAAGTTCTTTCCTCATCTCGTCCCATGAACTATATAGTCTCACCTCATCAGTGGCCTGCATAGAGTCAGCTGTCTACTCATACATCGTCTGACCAGAGAGGCCTTCCCTAACCAACCTATGACAAATAGCAACCTCTCAAACCAGCGCTCCAGTGATGATTGCCTGTCCCATCACTCGCTTTATTTTTCTTCATAGTTCTTATAATCACAGGACAAACTATGTACAAATATATGTATGGTCTCACCCCACTAAGGTATAATAAGCTCCATGAAATAGGTATTCTCTTCTGTTTTGCACACTGCTATATAGTAAGGTACATAGTTTACCATTGGCACATGGTGGGTTCTTAATAAATATTGGCTGAATGAGTATCCAGAACCTTGATGTTGCCTCATGTAATCCCAGGGACCTTCACTAGGAGGCTGGCCCACCACACGTACCCTGGATCTCTCTTTTACCATCCCATCATAAAACCTGTTTGCTGTGGTTATCATGTAAAGGCTGTGCAGAACTAAGCACTAAGAGGAGTGTGGTCCAAGATGGCAGAGGAGTAGGAGACCTGGGTTTCGTCTGGTCCCAGGAATTCAGCTAGATAGCTATCAAACCACTCTGAACACCTACAAACTCAACAGGAGATCGAAGAAAAGAATAGCAGCAACTCTCTGAACAGAAAAGCGACCACTTACTGGAAGGTAGGACGTGCGGAGAAGTGAATC